TTACATTGCTCTCGCGTTTTCACTTCAAAAATTTTCAACTTACTGTATCTGCTATTTTCAAGTGAGAAAAAAATTAACATCATGGAGTTGTGACAGTCGTGAAAAGTATACGTTTTTTGTATAGGTATTAGAAGAAAACCTCAAAATTGAAAATTCGTATTTTTCCGACCCATTACCATTAGTGGATCCACGGAGAGTATTGGTCAGGACACCTTCTGTTGCTAAAGGAAAGCAACGTTTAGCCTTGAATAAGAAGCCAATTGGTAATTATATAAGAAAGAAGAGACGTGACGTGTAAGCAATTCATATAAACGATGGCCCAAAAAAGAATAACAATGTACTGTGGCTTCAAAAACGAACGTGACCATTTATCAAAGAAGCCACTGACTCATTAGAGGACATTCTTCACGTGGACGTCTGACCGGAACAACACAGATGACTGTCAAACACCTTCATTAATTCCCACCACAATGTGTCTTAATTATTAAAAGTGTTTCAAATATAACTAGGACAGATGGTGGTTAGGTAAGCTGTAAGCAGAAATTACTTTACATGGGCCAATAATCGTACTAAGTTTCCTGTATCCTTATGTTCTTATGTCCAAATGTCATAGTAAACGCGTGACCAAAGAGGATACAGCACCACACACACTCATATACTGTATACAATAGACCTGCTTCATGCACCTGGAAGTGGACATAGCAGGAATATGGGGTTATATCATGTCAAGCTGAGACACCTGCGCTTGTGTCTGGCAGTGTGAATGACCGTTTTAACCTCACATGACTGTGATCTAATCAACTGAAGTTAATGTTCTTTGATGTATGATTAAATGGATAGGATGCGTCAGGAATTTCGAAATAGTGGTTTACGCATACAAATTTGTGGTAAAACTGCAGATCCCGTGGTAATACTCAAAGTAAATATACAAGACCCTACAGTTATTTTTTTTTTACCCCGGCTACACTATTAAAATTGAAAGGTTGCTTATGATTGCTGTCTCATAATTATAAAAGGAGCAGCCTATGCACTAATTCAACAGCATATCTTGGTATAAGTGAATAACAAAGGTTTAAACCGTGTTACTAACCGTTAATGACGACTGATGTCTGCCGTCTCAATAATACATGCTATAACTCGAATGATCTTTTACACCACCGTAAGATGATTGGCCAAAACATGTCCCAACTGTTGTACCAGTGACAATACAGCCAGGTTTAGATAGTCTAGAATTCTACTCTGAAGTACAACAAATATATGGGTTTCTTAGTTTGACAATAGAACATTTTGGAGACGGCTCAAGGGGTTCTAATGCCTCCTATGCTTCTATTAAGTCTTGATATGTAAAAAAAAATATCTTTACAATTCTTGTATGAAACAAAATAACTTCACGAATGAAGGTTTCTAATAAAGGTCCAGGAGGCATACCTCATATTAATAGCTCTGCGTGTGGATTGTTCAGTTCGAAATTCATCGAACCTCTCCGGAAATATATATTTTTTGTAGAGTATTAATACAAGTAATATAAACTTACACAGAAAGTTGTTTTCATCAATTCAATTCAATTTCAATTGTTTATTCCTTGATAGAGGAAGCGGGATCCTAGTGCTGTCACTAGGTACCCCTGTACAATGACACCAGAATCATCTGGCAAGTGTGAAAAGTATATACAGTATAAATATTATAAAGGGGCTTACTAAAGCCTAAGGAAGGAAGGATGTTCCTTTAACACATAGTTAATATTATTTACAAAATATCTGGCCAGTATGGGGAGGATCATCGTGTCTCCGTCAGGGGGTCGTGGAGTGGTGGTCCAGCAGGCGTCACGGAAGCGTTGTGTGTGGGTTGTTTTCATCAGAGACCCTAGTTCACGCTATCCCCTCACGTCCCCGCGCATGTATTCGCGGGAAAATGTCTCAGGCCTAAAAATGACGTATCTCCTAAACTATAAATTATAATTGTGTATATTTTGGTAAATTTATGATTTTCTTATGAAGTAATTTCCTATTAAATCTGAAAATTAAACAATTTGTAGTTTAGATAAGAATTTCACCTCCCGCCAAATAAGTTTCCTTTCTCTCTAGTCATTTAGGGCGGCATATTTAGACACTTACTTTGTTATCTTGTCCGAAAAACTAGGAAAATAATGTTATGCTCAACTTATACTTAGTATAAAGAAACTTTTACATTTTATATTTACACACAGTGAAGGTGTGGAACAACTTACCCCCACCCATCCGAGCAAAAACAACGGAGGCTCCCTTCCTTTGAATCATCTCTTAAAAAATATCTATTGTCTAAGTATTAATATTTCTTGTAATGCCTACGATATTTACAGTACCTACTTTTATTGTACCATCAAAACCGTTTTATCGGAAATTATCATGTAAATAGATAAGAAATTACCATTGCAATAAACATATTTGCCAACTAGACATAATCCTGCCAGCTCTGTCCTCTTGTTCAACCTTAATACTGTACAACCCATGTTGTACTGCTCCACCATTATACTTATGTTTTTCAACTCCACTGTAATTTATGTATATACTTATAATTTAAATAAAAAAATAAACTAAAAAAAATAATAAATAAATTAAATTAATTAATATTGAAGTGATAACTGTGGTAACATTATGAGATGTTCTTATTACCACCATGCTATTGTACTATTCCAGATGATGCTAAATGTTACATAATACTTCCTGGAGATAAATTTATAGTGTATATCAGGTGCCTAAAAGTGAGCTCAGGTTCTCAACTGGCTCAGCCATGTTAGTATTGTTATTAATATCCACTCTGTATCTGTGTTTATCTGGCTAAATAAACCGTTTCAATTCAATTCAGTATATCGCGATCGAGTGATCAAGTCAAAAGAGACAGAGGACTCCCAGTATAATATTACTTTATAATCTTAAGTGATATTTGGTCATCAGTGGTGATGTATTATTTACCGGTTAGGACAATTATTAGGCTATACTGTGACATATTTCATCGCTGATTGCGGTATGTTTAAGTTCGTTTGCCTAATCATTAAATAAACGGCGAGACAGAAGTAAACTTGATGATTTTTAGTTAGTGATTTACATGTTAACTTGAAAAACCATTTCCTCATTCTGAGTGACAGAGTGTATTATACATGACAGTAAAACAACCCAAGAAAGCATACATATACGTTTCACAACGGCTCGCGGCTCTTGCTGTAAGACGTCCTGAGTAACGGCAAAATCGATAGAACCTTCCTCAGGCTGGAGGCAAGGTGGCTGGACAGTATTATGTTCCCTGGTGTTGTACACAGAAACTGGAGTTATTGTGCCATCCTAGTGTCCACTCTGCTGTGTGCAGCCCTGCAAGGAATACCAAGATTCCTTTTTGAAATAAATAAATAAATAAATAAATATAAAAAAAAAATATATATATATATATATATATATTGTTACAAGTTGGGGATTTAGAATATAGTTAAAAGTCTACCCAGATCCCAAAAGGCAACAACAATAAAAAACAAAGACAGTCGGACTATAAAAGGGTAGACGAAGGATGCGAGTTTTTGTTGTGTATAATAAAGTACCATAAATTCCTTAACAAAACATTCAGCTTTCTATAATTTACCCTTAACCATACTTAACCTAAACATACGCAACATTGGCTTAACAGTATATATATAGTTACACAACATACAACAATCTGAAGCAAGGTGGAGGTGGGGAGGCAATATAAGATTACAAAATACTCAAGTGCAGTGCTGAGATGGCTGACGAGTAAGGCTGAGTATTGAAGATGGTAGGTAGTCACTGTGCCGTAGGTTTCCAGGATAGGTGATCCTAGTGTGGTCACTTCCCAGAGTGAACTGAACTCTCCTCGAACTGGAGCTGATGAGGAAGACTTAGAGGAGGTGACGCAACAACCAGGATATGGAGAAGGGAAACCCAGGAGTGGTAACTAAGACTAGCAGGAAGATCGTTTCCGCCCTTACACGGGCACAGGTCAAACGACCCACAACGGAGCCTGGGGGGCGAAAGAAAAAAAAATGGAAAAAAATTGTAATTATAGAAAAAAAGGTTATGCTGTATTAATCTACACCACGTCTGTAAATTGTTGATAGTGAATACTTTCATCATTGTGAGTTTTGATCCATTTACAGACCAGACCATTCTTTACATAAGTGAGCAGGCCACTTCCTGCTCCACTATTGTATGCTGTAAACCCAGCTATCCTAGGTGCAACTTTCTTCTGTGTGCTGGACGTGTAAGGTAACAGTGGGTCATTCCACGACAGTAGATAGGGGCGAACAGGAGCCGATAATGGTGAGAGTGAAACTGGCGTTGCCACCTCAGTCAGAGAAGACATCACCTGTCATAGATTGCTCCCCCAATAGCCGGGGATGGTTTTCCACCAATCAGGAGCCATCTCATGACTCGTGTTCTTAGTAGTTGCCTACTGGTTAACTAGTGGTTTGGGGTCGTGTGGAGTAAGCAGTGTTTCTGCAGTGTAGGCTATTTACATGGAAGTGTGACTCTTCCATGTTACAATTCTATATCAACCAGGTGTCTCAGTTTGATGTATTATTAAGTTTAACAGCTTATTATGCTAATGAAATGTCGCAGCTTATTGTATTATCCAAATTTTACAGGTTACTGTTTTAACTAAGCGTTGACGCTTACTGTGTTAACCAAGTGTTGAAGCTTAATGTGATAACTACGTGTTGTAACTTATTGTGTTAACCAAGTGTTAAAGTTTAATGTGTTAACGAACTGTTGAAGCTTAGTGTTCAGTAAGTGTTGCAGCTTACTATGTTAACCAAATGTCGAAGTTTACTGTGTTTACCAAGTGTTGCAGCTTACTCTGGTGCTATACTGTTAATCTTGCTTGTGTGTGTGTGTGTGTGTGTGCAGTAGATCTTCCCATAATTCCCCAAAGAACATATGTGCCTATGCATGATAACTTAACCTACACTGTGATGTCAGTATCGCTGACTACCTCCTTCCCTTTCTCCCTCACAGCCAAAGGCAGTATGGCGGACAAGAAGCCCAGCCAAGACCGGTTCAAACAACAGTCTAAGGAGAAGGAACAGAAAGACCAAAAGGAGGAGAAACCCAAGGAAAAGGATAAAAAGTAATTGGAGAAGATGGTAAGAGAGGTAAAGCCTTGATTCTAAGGGGGTTAGTAATTCTGGGGTATACTGAAAGCTAAGAGAGCAGGAGAAATATTTTATATTTTACGGCTTGTGGTACGACAGGGCAAGTTTGTTAGTGAATATGTATTTATGTGTAGCCAACATTGGAGTTTTCGTGTACATGTGAGTATTGGCATATCTCATTTATTGGGAAAGGTTCTTTAACTCATCTGTTCGTAACTGCACCAAAACCAAATGAGATACGACAGCATAAGAATTATTCCAATAGTTTGGCATCTTAGCCATGTAAAGGGAGTTATAATTGTGCTTAGATACGTATGGAAGTGAGTGAGTGAGTCGGGAGATGTATAGTAGGGAAGTGGCAGAGCCGAAACCAGGCCAGGGTTGGTCGCTAGGCACAGAAAGCCTGTTCTAGTTCCAATGTTTTGTGTTGATAATAGAGGAAACAGTTAATAACCATTGAAAAACAACCCAATACTGTACTCGTGTGCTGATGTTGTTAGTTTTTGTGTTGAGGCTAATATGTATTTGTACATTGAGGCTTCACTCTTAGTCTGGCTCAGAATTAAGAATTGTTCATCATTACTTATATGTCAATCAAACAGTCAATGACTTCTTATTGTTCAGAGTAACATTTAACCTTTTTTTCAGACATTGTTCCTGATGGAGTAGATTTTTTTTTATCTTTAAACAAATCCATAAGCCAGATATCAAAGTGTCTTCACGTTCTCAAAGACAAAAAATATGGAGAAATATTCCTGGACACACCTGAGTGTTGGTGTTCATGCCTTGGCACACACACCATCACATTCACACGCAAAGTGAAAAAAAATACACAAGTGCTTATTTATTTCGAGTTTTTGTAATACAATAATTGTGATAATTATAACAAGTGTCAGGGTTCGGTAAATGGAAAGGAATTGTGATACATCCCCATATATTATTTTCAAGTTGTTTCTTCAGTGTTCCATTCGTCAAAGTCAGCCTTCTTTTCAAAGGGCCCAGAACTTCGTGATGGTAGCGACCCTCATGAAGTTGGTCTAAATATTTATCATGTACAAAAAAATTATTATTACACGCCAAGTTATCTTTTCCTACTCCTCTCCATCTATCAGCTTACTAGTCGGGCGGAGTCCAGCGTTTTTACAGGAAAGCTCTGGAGCATCCAGTGATGACATGTGATGCTCACCTGGGTCGCATTGGACAACACTCCGACCCAAACGGGAGTCGAACCCGGATCATAATGGTGTGATACAAGCGTGTTATATAGTATACATCATTAAAGAAAGCACAGTCAACGGCGTTCTCCAGCAGACATAAAACACCCTAATACTCGCCACAGACTCGAGAAGTTATAGGAACCAAACGCCGCTCATGATACATCACTGGCCTTAACCTATACTAGGTAAACACCATGGCAGACATTAAAGATTACAAAAATACAACATAATCACTAGGAACGAATTATCAAAGTCTTACCACAAGAATTCAAAGAAACATAAGAATTCTGGTAAGGAAAACATCATTGGCCAAAACAATTTCAACAGCTAGTGAATTACCACGTCCACCTACTGATCCGAATCCTTCATATTTCATATTTTGTAAATGATTATTGTGAGAGATTATGACAGGTGTAAGACACTCAAGGCCCTGACTGTATAGTCTTGCGTTTCTTTATATGAGGAGAAAAGCATCAGTAAGTCCCTTATATGTTTTATTATATGATATGGTGATTGTCACTAAGCTTACCTGTGAAAGATTTGGGAAATGTTAATGTGTCTCAAATCCAGGACACTCTCAGGCCTCGCCTACTGTAGATGCCAGTATAATCCAAACCCTTCCACACCACGGATTTGTTTCTCTTTTGACGTGTATCTTTTTTTAATGAATCTGTAAGAATTCCATATTAGTTACTGATTTTGTGTTGTCGCAGCTCATCCCAGTGATGCCCTTATTGTCACTAGTACCTCAGTGTATGACAGCACAAGAACCAAAACTTATTATTTTTTGCGCTCTCTTTACCCAGTGACTATTTCTGGTCATCGTTCCTGTAAAAACTCTACCTACCAGATAATCATTACCTCATCCTAGCAACGTAATGGTATTATCCGCGAGAGGCGATTCAAATTGTTTTCCTTATATTGTGGTTAATTAATTTTGTTATTAGTCAGATTTAAATTCAAATATCTTCCCGCTATTCACCAACTCATTTGGGTAGATCACCCGGGGGCTTGTCAAGTGCTGCTGAGACTGTACCTGAGAGCAAAACACAAAGGTCACACATAAAACTCTACGGACAAAGGATAAACCATCTATTATTTTACTGAGTAATCAAAAGTATACAATATATATATATATATATATATATATATATATATATATATATATATATATATATATATATATATATATATATATATATATATATATATATATATATATATATATATATATATATATATACAGGGCGAGCATAAAGTCTTTCCCTGATTCTGAAAAATCATATCTCGAAGACCATTCTAGATAGAAATATGAATGTTGTAGCATTGTGTAGACGAATTCATAGAAATTTTTTTCATGCATATTATAAGCTGCAAAAAACTGTATGTTTGTACCTAGCATATGTTTTGTGTAATAAATGTTTGTAATCAGGGAAAGACTTTATGCTCACCCATATATATATATATATATATATATATATATATATATATATATATATATATATATATATATATATATATATATTGCTCCGTTGTTTTTTTCCGTAATAGAAATAACAGGGCATGGAGAAAAATAGGGTTAGGTGCAGATTCTCGAAATCGAAAAAAATTTAATAGTTAGCTTACTTACAAAGGATAGCAGAGTCTAAATAAATGTTACATTCATATCTAATAATGAAATCATATAGTAAATGTAACACTTTACCTTGAAAAAAATATGAATATGTAACTTGATGGGGAGAAAGGTGATTTTGAGGTTGATAACATCGAGCTTCTCAAGTGTTATATCCTTTTTTCTAGATCTCACTTGGAATTCTATCACCAGAACGCTTCTTGGAGATATTCTTCTTTACCATATTCACAATTAATGCCACAAAATTGGAGAAATAGTAGCAAAAATCGCGTTATAGCAAACAAACATTCGCGTTATACAAATATTTTCTAATTCATAAATGCGATTTAGAACAAATTCATACCCAGCGTTATACTTTGAACTCTTTATATATATATATATATATATATATATATATATATATATATATATATATATATATATATATATATATATTGATAACTACAAGGAAAAGAAAAACACGAAGTTCCGGTGTATATATACAGAGGAGGGTGAGATCAGGTCCATTGGTCAGGTGTTAGACAATCTTTGCATAGCAGGTTGGTAGTCAGGTCAGAGGGTAAGGTGATTAGAGATAACTTCTAAGAACAGTATTTACTTTTTTAGGAAATTTCTGACTGGCCATAAACGATCATAAACATCATAGTTTCATAGACATTCACATAAATTAATAGTTTCATGCAAATTATAACCTACTCTAACTTACTTTAGGTAAAATTTTATTATCGTTAGCAAACGACACCTTATATGAAAAAACAAATTTGACCATATACGAATTAGTTTCCATTGAGTTATAGCAATAAAAACAAAAGTTATCCCAATTCAGCAAGGCTTCAGTTTCTTTGAGCATAGTCTGAAGATATCCTGTTTAGTGAACGAAAACTGAAATTTGGCATGTGAGGTGGAATTATGCTTCTCCTAGGTCATGCTCTATCTCCTGTCCCTCCACCTGGGCGAATTAAGTTGGGTAAATCAGCTAGTGAATCATAAGTGTTATTGCTTCATTAAATTATATTTCAATGACGCAAATTAGTTTTTTTTTAGGAAGATGGGTCGAAGATGATGCTTGCAGGTGTTAAAAATGCCAGTGATCTTGTATATTCTAGTGGAATTACTTGTATTGTACCCTCCATGTGTATTCTTATTATAATAACTAAAATATTCTCCATTATATGTGACTTCACAGTATATTATACTGACGTATGCCTTCTTCAGTGTTTCAGGGTATCGGACTACTTCTACACGTCTCACAACATTAAACTGCAAGTGCGTCTCCTCCACCTTCTCTAAAATTACCAGTAACTGTCCTTCCCGTCATCAAGTGCTTCAAGAAGCTTTCCTCTTCGTCAACTAATGCTTCAATCAACACTCCATCATGGATCCCTACTTTCCTCAATTCATCAACTAATGTTTCAGGAACTCTCTATCTAAAATAAAAGCTTCATATTTCTCTCAACGTCAAATAATGTTAAGCCACTTTTCTCGGCCTCCGAGATCGTTTCAAGCTTCCTACTCGCTCTCTCAACTTTCCACTAACTCTACTAACAGCACATATTGTCTTAAGTAACTTTCTTCTCCTTCATATAGGTATCCAAACCTCATTGACTCAAGGTTGTATTCAACTGGAAGAGATGCATCTCTTGCGTGGCAGCTGCTCATACCAGGACTGACCACACCTCCACCCCCAGCATGTGTGTCAGTGGGCCCCCTCATACCAGTGTGTCAGTGGGCCCCTCCCTTATATCAGTGTGTCAGTGGGCACCTCTATCATGCAAGTGTGTCAGGGGCCTCCTCATACCAGAATGTCAGTGGGCCTCTCCCTCATACCAGTGTGTCAGTGGGCCCCCCTGGTTATCCACCACCGTCTGACACTCCAACACAGACTAGTGTCCTCCAGCTCACGCTTCAGCTCCAACATTCCTATCTCGAATATTACATAGCCTTTATGCTCTTATTTCTGCTATGTATCTGTTTTATTCTCTAAATTCTTGCTACAGTTTAATAATCTCTTCAGCACAGTAGATGATTTGCAGCACTTTCCTTGGTCTCGTCCACTTTGTTACTTTAATATTGTTACTGCATGCCCTCCCTCCCCTCACTGTTTCCCTTTCTCCTCAGTCATTCCCCTCAGCCCTCTCCTCCTCACAACTTCTCTCCCAGTCCTCCCTCACTCAGACCTACTCTCACAGTCCTCCCTCACTCACACCTTCTCTCTGTCAAATCCTCTCTCTCACACCTACTCTCATGATCACTCCTCCTCCCTGCTTCTCTCACAGTCAATCCTCCTCCCCACCTACTCTCACAGTCACTCCCTCACTCACACTTACTCTCCCAGCACTCCCTCACTCGCTTTCTCATGCAGTCAATCCCTCACTCCACCTCTCTCACAGTCATCTCCTGCTCACACTTGCTCTCACAGCCACCCCCTCCTCACACCTACTCCTCACGATCACTCCCTCACTCCCCACCCTACTCTCACAGTCAATCCCCTCACTCACCTACTCTCTCAGTCCTCCCTCACTCCACCTACTCTCGCCTCCTTCCCTCCTCCTTCCTCTGTCTCCTCACTCACACCTACTCTCACAGTCAATCCCTCCTCACACCCTACTCTCACAGTCCTCCCTCCTCACACTTACTCTCCCAGCTCACTCCCTCCTCCCTCTCTCACAGCCTCCCTCCTCACCCTCCTCACAGTCACTCCTCACTCTACTCCTCACAGTCTCCCTCCTCCTCTCTCCCAGTCCTCCTCCCCTCCCTCTCTCCCTACTCCACCTGCTCTCGTCAATCCCTCACTCACACCTCTCTTCTCAGCTCCTCCTCCACCTACTCTCACAGTCACTCCCCTCCTCCCTCTCTCACAGCCCTCCCTCACTCACACCTACTCTCACAGTCACTCCCTCACTCACACCTACTCTCTCACAGTCCCTCTCCTCCTTCCTCTCTCAACCACACATCACAACCTACCTAAGGCCAAAGAATAGTAATCTTCCGACACTGCACTCGACCACCTTCACTTCCCCATCTGTAGTGTTGGGTAAACTTAGTGGTTGCTATGGGCGTGAAACTTTAACCTCAAAACTCGATTTTCTTGACTCAAACTTTTGTTAAGTCAGATAATTTGCTTATACCATTTTCTTAGTTCAGATTATTTTCTTAACCTTGATCTCTCTTAGTCTTCATCATCTCTTCCCATAGTCTAATATTATTTTCCTCAACCTAACCTAACCTAACCTGAGCAACCTAAACTAACCTAACCTAACATAACTTAACCTAAATGAATCAAGCTAAGCTAACCTAACCTAACATAACTTAACCTAAATGAATCAAGCTAAGCTAACCTAACCTAACCTAATTTTAGCCACTCAAAAACTGTGCTTATATGTTGTTCATTTATCCCATATTATTATTATTAATATTATTATTATTATTTCTTCCTCATTTTCAGTGACGTGTGAGTGATACAAATCGTTTACCCAGTCCCTCTACCACTTGCAGTCCCCGCCCCTACCACTTACAGTCCCGCCCTACCATTTACAGTCCCGCCCCTACCACTTACCCAGTCCGCCCCCTTACCCAGTCCAGCCCCCTACCCTTGCAGTCCCGCCCTACCACTTACCCAGTCCCGCCCCTACCTTGCCCACACCTTCCACTTGCAGTCCCCGCCCTACCCTTACCCAGTCCCTGCCCCTCTACCACTTGCAGTCCTGCTCCTACCACTTACCCAGTCCCCCCCCTACCCACCCAGTCCCGCCACCTTCCACTTACCCAGTCCCCACCTTCTACTACTACCCAGTCCCGCCCCTACCACTTACCCAGTCCCGCCCTCTCTCTTACCCAGTCCCGCCCTACCACTTACCCAGTCCCCGCCCTACCATTTACCCAGTCCCTGCCCCTACCACTTACCCAGTCCCCGCCCCCTACCACCACCAGTCCCGCCCCCTACCACTTACCCAGTCCCCGCCCTACCACTTACCCAGTCCCCGGCCCCCTACCGCCCACCCAGTCCCCGCCACCTTCCACTTACAGTCCACCCCACCGCACAGTCGCCTTCTACTACTTACCCAGTCCCCACCCCTACCACTTACCCAGTCCGCTCCCCTACCACTTACCCAGTCCCGCCTGCTACCACTTGCAGTCCGCCCACCTTCCACTTACCCAGTCCATGCCACCTTCCGCCACCGGGTCCCCACCCTTACCACTTCAGTCAGGTCCTACCAATTACTCAGTCCCTGCCGTTCGCTTACCCATTCTCCTCCCTACCATAACCGGTCCCGCCTACTACTTACCCAGTCCTGCCACCTTCCACTTACCCAGTCCCCGCCACATTCCACCTACCCAGTTGCGGGTCCTACCAGTACCCAGTCCCTGCCACCTTCCACTTACCCAGTCCCCGCCCTTTCACTTGCAGTTCCGCCCTACCACTTCAGTCCCGCCACCTTCCACTTACCGTCCCCTACATTCCACCTACCCAGTGCGGGTCCTACCAATACCCAGTCCCTGCCACCTTCCACTTACCCAGTCCACGCCCACACCCTTGCAGTCCTGCCACCTTCCACTTACCCAGTCCCCACCTCTTTACCACCCCAGTCCCTGTCCTACCACTTACTCAGTCCTGCACCTTCCACTTACCCAGTACCTCCTACCATAACCAGTCCTCCCGTTACCTGCCCAGTCCCCGTCCTTTACCCATACCCCAGTCCCCGCCCCGCTGCCATATCCTCCCGCCCTTCCACTTATCAGTCCCGCCCCTACCACTTACCAGTCCCTCCACCTTCCACTTACAGTCCCGCCCCTCTACCGCCAACCAGTCCCCCCCTACCACTTACCCAGTCCGCCTACCACTTCCAGTCCTCCACCTTCCCTTAACCAGTCCCGCCCTACCACTTACAGTCCCGCCCCTACCATACTCAGTCCCTCCACCTTCCATAACCAGTCCCGCCCCTACCACCTCGGTCCCGCCCTACCACTTACCCAGTCCTGCCTCTACCACTTACCCAGTCCCCGCCACCTTCCACTTATCCAGTCCCGTCCCTCCCTACCACCAGTTGCTCCACAACACTTGCTCCATAGCATCACTCCGACAACCACAGCACCACAACAGCGCAAAGCAGCAATATTATTTACTTCCGAATCCGTACCTGATTCCGGAACCAAACATAACTTTAAATACCTGTCTGGAATCTAATCGGTCGTTTTAATATTAACATCCGCATCTGGTTTCATGTTTAGGGTCAGGAGCTAGATTTAGTTTGAGCTCGCAACTTTCCCTTTGTTAAAGATGTACTTTTAGTATCTTTACTGCTCTGAAACTATCGATAGTTTGGGTTTAATGCAAGTTCAAGCTTGGGCAGTAACACCCCCCGGGAACAACTATGAAGGTGCACCACAAATTCAGATTCACACAAATAAACATATTTCGCATATTTGACTGTACTTGCTGATTGTTTTAGGAGCGTATTATAAAACTTACGGATATAATTCTTTTCACTTTCGTGTAATTTCATTGAATAAGATAAGTTCAGACATAAGTGCATATTGCCAGTAGTGGTGTGAGCACTAGGTGAGACTGCACACCCCCCCCCCCAAGCCACACCATACATAGCGTCCTATGATATAAAAGTGTCCGTGCTCTTACTAGCATACACTTATATTCTCTTCTAACAATTTATCTCCAATACTACAAATTATTTAAATTTCTGATTCCAACTGCCAGTTAGTAATTATAATACAGAATATTGTACATGGATGTAACGAACCGTAAATATATAATTTGTATTATTTTATAAGGTGGAAGTAACTGCCGTATAGTAATAGGCCTTGCAATATGTGAACGAACTAAAAGGTAAGGCAATTTTTCAATCTTTAGTAGATACCTTTAATACTGTCTACAATTCTCGTCTTGTGTAAGCTGAGTACATCTGTCACTTCCTCTTGCCTTACCCACAAGTTTTTACAATAGTGCAGAGTTTGTTATATTACAGGAACCCCCTCCTAATTCTTAGCCTAAGTAGATCTCTCACAGTTGATCCAATACTCGGGGTATACCACCATGTAACATTAGGCAGCTAAAATGCTAAAAAGCGGTAAAGTTACATAAGTTGACACATTAGCTGAGACATCTATGGGTAAAAAATAAAAGAGTATTGCATAAATTGTGTTAACGCGATTGTATAAACGTTTGTGTGTATAATTGTGTAAGCTGGTCACATTTAAACTATCGTACACAGCCAGCTTATATTTTGGCTCGATTAAAGTTACTGCTGGATAAGTGTGTGGTCACTGTGTGTTAGCGTGCCCGGGCCGCCCCCCCCTCCCCCTTCCTCCGCGGCCGCTGGCTTGTTGGTTTGTACGAGCATGTAGGGACGTTACACACTCCTTGTAATACA